GGAACCTTGCCTCGCTACAGCTGTTCCACCCACCGACATTGTCCCACCCTACGTCTTCTTCTAGCAGTGAATGCAGAGATATTACATTTCACCTTGTTTGGCCGTCCCGAGTATTAAAATAGTTCAAGTGTTCCGAATCATGCAGTAAACAACACACGCCCTCCTTGTGTATAGCCGGCCAGCATCTCATGAATGTGGAAACTGTAATTATTCACAGAAGCATTTCTATGGACTCTTACTGATGATTACGTCCTCCGCTCATGTTTCATACTGAATGTGGTGACTCCATGCTGTGTATATTTTCCCTACCGAGAGTTTAACGCTAGATCACTTGACTAAACAAGGTGTCGGCAGGAAGTTGGCACCTTGGCACAAAATGAGAGCTCACATCGCTCACCTTTGATTAAATATGCTGTCATCTGCAGTTTATGATGAGGAGTGATTTAATATGGTGGTCTCCTCTTTCTCACACACACACACACATATCATCAGGGGCAGACTTAGGCCTCTCTTCTGTTTGACATTGTGATGGATGTGGTTTGATTACGACATGCTTTAATCCAGGCTCAACTATCAAATCTGTCCATGCATCAGCTTCAACAAGAGAAAAGAACTAACCTCCTCGCAGGGATTTCACTGGTTTCAGCACAATCCAGCAAAGTAAACTTTTTGAACTGGATTGTAAGGGTGTGTACTAGAATCTACTTTGCAGTGAACAAAAGGCAAAAGAATCGTCTGATCAATCAACCAAGGTTTACTAATCTTTGTCGACTGGGTGCCACTCATGATCCAGGATGCCTTCATGTTTCTATTTTACACTTAATCCAGCTTCGGCCTAACAATCAAGACCCAGTGCTGTGCCCTCATATCTGATGCGATGTAAAAGCTGCATCATAACTCGTTTCCAAGTGGGTTAAGACGTCTGAGAAGCTGATAAATGCAACAGTGGATATTCCCGAGCCACTGGCCCTTTTTTTTATTCCCAGAGATCTCACGAAAGCATAATTATGTAATTGCCTCATCTTGTATGAGTCCCTCTGAGACATTTTCCTTTCTACAGGAGCTATATTCATGGACTAGCGTCTGCTTTGTCACCCGATCCTTTGAATCCAGAGAGCACAGAACTCCCCTCGAGGCTTCGGATAGAAGGAAGGAAGTTTACATCAAAAAATTGCACGAGTACACTTAAGGTTAGACACTAGCATTAGTATTGTAACACCAACATTACATCTAAACATGGACTTTATGTTGCAGAATTCATCTGAACCCTTCTCTCCATGTAATGACCCAGCTCTCTTAGGGGATCGATAAACTTTTTTGTACTCCGGTGGAAACTCTTGTTTTGTACTTTTTCTGAGCTACTGTAACTTTGTTTGAATTTTCAGAGGATTTAAGTGTAGTCACTACTTACAGAACAGCCAGGTCTTTGAGATGAGCAGTTGTTGAGAACACAGACTCCTCCATTTATTTTAAGCTGCACTTGCTTTAGCTATGGTCACCATGTTTAAAAAAAGAAAAATAATGAAGTGGCGTGTTATGTAATAACATAACAATGACACATTTTTGGCAGCATGGTGAATGTGCTTTAATACTTCCAGTACATTTAGGTAGGATTCTGTGCAGTGGGTTTTGCAGGACTGTGATCGTTTGTGATGTTGATCTATTTCAAACTTCTATTCTGTATGAAATATAGAGAAAGTCGGTTATTAAAAGTTTGCAGTTGGCAACATGGTGATCCTACAACTATCAAATGTTCATATTATTTGTGATTGATTTTTTCTCTAGATTTGCTTACAAAACTTTTGCCAGTTACATGGTGATGTGATGTCTGAATTCTGCACCAAATAAAAATGATAACAAAGCTCTGTCTCCACTGACAAAAATACTGTGTAAACCAATATTTTGCTGATTATTGCTTAGCCACTAAAGCAAAAACTATTTTGGTGTATTTGACAAAGACAACCTAAATAGTGCTAAATATTTCATCATTTTCCATTTTACAGAAACAAAAGAATGGCTGCTAAAAGACGTGCGCCCTCAAAAGGGTTCAGACATAACATTTCCGCCTATTTTATTATACAATGTGTGTTTGTGCATGTGTAGAGATTAGATACCCTGAAACTTCAACTGTAACGAGAATACTGAAGGCTACTCCGATGGTCATGTCTTTAAAAGCCCCTTTCAACACACGCTACTCCTTCTACCCCTCTCAGACCCAGACTCCTGGCGCAATAGGAGCCCATCAACAGTACAGTATGTTGCATAAGGTTTTGCAGTGTCAGCCCACGGCCTAAGAAGATCCGGTTTCATAAAGACTCTTTTGCCCTCAGAAAAGGGACCCCATTCTAACGTTCCATCACAAATAACCCTGTGTCCTGCAAACTTAAAACCACGTCATCTGCTGCTTGTACATCTGCCTTCTAAGGGCACGGTGACGGCCACGTTTTCCTTGGCAAGGCACAGAGACAAGAGGGACAGAGAGGTTTAGAATCAGATTCATGGAAGACTGATGAGGAAAGATGTCCCAAGTTCACCCACAACTCCCATTCGTCCATTTAAAATATTCACAATGCATAATTATTATAATTGGTCCAAAACAGTTGTCAGCAGGACGATTGTATAGAACATTGTGTGTGTGTGTATGTGTGTGTGTGGCACTCTAATGAGTTGCTGGGTGGTGTGCAAAACACCGCCACTGGATTTCCATCTCCAGGACGCAGGCAGGTCAGGAGATCGTGAGATCTGGCATACGGTTAGGGAAATAATTTCTAAAATGGAGTGGACTTACTTATCATGTCTTGTCTGGTAGTCTTCTGTCCATCTGTAACAATCCCATGGGGCAATAGAAAACAGAGTTCCCAAACTTTACTTCTCTGGGCAAAAATAGGCCTTAATTGAATCACTTCGACAAAGACTACATTCTTTACTTACTGTACAGTTTTGTTCATATACTTTTCTATCATGTATAGTGTGGCATGTTGCTCCCAGTTTGGGATCATTGATTAATTAATTAAAATTAATTAAATTAATTAAAATTATTTCACACTAATGTTATCAGCATATGCCAACTCTAATCAACAACTACTTCAAGGAGTGGGGGCTTAAGGGATACTACTCTGTAGCTCATTTTGTTTGAACATAAAACAATGTGCTGAGATTAATCGTTATACTTGACCATTTTGATGACTTTTTCTAAGTTTTATTTTATTTTCTGAGCTGGATCCCCCAAAAAATTATTATGCTGTGAATATGAATGTACATGTATCTATACATGTATAATGTACATATATTTGATTTTCTAAATCTTTCTTAGATATTTGAGTTTTACTGAATGGGGGAAAAGAAAGCAAAATAAAGGTAACTGCTGTATTTTTGTGTACTTAATGTTTGTACCTCTATCTTGTAACTAATAAATAAATTGGAGAAGAAAAATGTCCTTGATGTTGCTTTATCTAAAAAAGAAATACTTCAATATAATGCAAAAATCTTGCATTGATAATGTTGAGCAAGTAATAAATGAATATATTTTATGGGCTTATCATTGTTTTCCATATGTAAACTCCAATAACTAAACAATTAAATATTCATGGGACATGTCCGTCTGAAAAAAGGAGCATTAGATGAATGAAATTAATCAGGTCTGTCAGGTTTGTTCTGTTCTTAAGCATTGTCAATCATTCCTAACATTAACGCTGTACATAACAGTAGGATTGTGTGACCATTCACTGTCATTGCCACGCCGCTACATTCCTATAACGACCATCTGCAGTTCTAAGTAGTGGTGTAACTCTTCTGCATCACAGTCCACACTGAACTGAGTCATGACAGTAATTCAACTTGATGCTGGCTATTTTCTTCTCACATGACAATCTTTTGAGTGGCATTATGCAAGTCCTCATCAAAGGGGTCCTCTCCTAAAAAAAAAGTGTCTTTAGTTGGGACGGCCACTGCCGCTCTGCTGCACAGCCCTGGACCCCTGCCTGCAGTCTGCTGGCATTGAGTTTTCCCATCCTGGCATGAAGTCATCGGTCTTTGACGGACACACTCGGAGCGGAGTAGTCTGTTGTTAATGTTCACGGCAGAAAAGCACTCAGAAAGAGCCATCAAAAAGAGCCTCTTCTCTCCATTCATCACACATCCAGAAGAATTACGACCTGTCAAATAGTGTGCGTTCACTTCTGTATACTTACATAAGGGTGTTTACACTGGCAACAGACAAACAGTAATTGTGCTTATTGGATCTGGAAATGAGCTGCACTGAAAACCCGTGACATTTGACTGCAGAAGCTGAAGGCTCAAACTTGTTGGCAAGTGAGTTTAAGTTACTATATAACTCTGGGTACACGTGCTGAGGTCAGGTGTACCATTTCCATCTATTGCTTCAGTTAGTCTTTCTTTACATTATAGTGTCTTCACAGGATCACATGTGAAAGGATGGAAAACAGTCCTACTGACATGTGAGAGTGTGGGTGGAAACCCAAAGACGTTTTTATCAGCTGCATCAACCAGCTCCAGTGTCTCATCTTGATTACAGTGTGATTGCAGGAATAAGTATCTAAGTGGATCTGTTAGAGGATTTAAGTGGGTTGAAGAGTGCCCTACAATTTAATTTTGCTAAATAAAACACAGAAAGAAAAATAATCAAGGTTATCGTTTATCTGGGTAAGGGTTCTTTTTCTTGTGGTCAACAAATCCGATGAAAAGACCAAAACAAACCATGCAATTAGACATCCCTCAACACCTTCTGAATTGCCCGTGGAACTCTAGGTTAAGTCCATTAGTTTATACCAACTCTTTAAAATTGATCATAAATTGTATTTAATCTTAAATTTCCTTGAGTGAATTCCTAAAAGTTAGGCACTATAGTTTGCCAGTGATTGAAACAGGAGGTTACCATGCATTTGAGAGGGACTATTCACAGTCTATCATTTGTAAATCACCCACACAAACTACTAAACTGCTTATCCCGATGCAATCATGACATGAATGCTATAAAACAGTCAAACTGAACAATAAAGCCTTTATTTTTTTTGTTTTTCCATAGTTCAAGTTTGTCATTCCCACCCAATAAAAAGGTGGCAAATAGAGTGAAGGAGTAAGAGGTAGAGCAAGTGTTCCATTCTCATTGTGATCAGCGTAAAAACTCACTTTTACACACCAAGGGAACGGCCATCCAAAGGCCAACTAACAAAAGAAGCAACCAAAAAATGTAATTGAAAAAAAAAAACCCAGCAGCTTCTTTGTGGTGTTGCTAACTTTCCCTTATTATTCACAATCATAAATACTCCTAACTCACTGACTTTTGATAAAGGTCGCACTACAGTGTAAACCAGAGAGGCAATGAGTTCTAGCTATGCACAGAGGCACAGCAATTATCATTACTATCATCACCACCGTCATCATCACAGTCTCTGAACACTTGGAGTGGGGTGCGGGCTTCTAGATGAGTCCAAGGGGCTCTGCATAGCATGGTCTGACAGGGGAGATAATGGCTGCCCCCTATTGAACTGAAAAGAGGCTCTCGGTCCAGCACTCGAGGAGAGCGTGACCTGCTGGGGGCAGGAAGGGGAGCACAGAAACCTGTGGAGCCAAACAGCGACGTCAGTCCAAAGCAGGCGTACGACAGTCAGCTGGCACTGTGAGTACAAGTGTTCGTGTACACGCCTCAAGCTGGATTAAAACTAACTACTACCAACCATTCTACCATTCATCTACACTGCCAGGATTGGGACAGTGCCATGTTACATTTAAAAAAAGGAGATAGTATTTACATCTTCAATGCATAAATTATTTCCCTACCATACTGTATGTGTAAGGCATATTAAGGTCTCTGAAAAAAAAAAAAAAAAGGAAAACGTTACGTGCCTCATATGTAAAGACTATGCAGATTCCAGAAATGAGAAAGGTAGGCAAAAGGATTAATAATTGTAAATGCTGCCGAAATAAAATAACAATGAAGGCCAGAACGAGTCCAAAAAAAAGAGGGAAAAAACATAAAAAGTCATTCATGAGAATGTGTTTGCAAAATGGCACGCAGACATAGGCTAAAGCTGTGAGCTTGATTAGGCAACCCCCAGATATTTCCAGGCAGTAATAATGGAGCCTGCTCTTTAAACCCAAGAAAGAAGAGTACTGAGGGGTCACTCCAAGGAGGGTTACACCCGGGATCACTGATGATATGGGATGCATTACATTCCTGCCTCGCACCGCCTAGCCATCTAGGAATGATTTGCAACTCCTCTTGCCCAGAATGTGACCTTTGACATTTCTTACGTTTTTTTCGCCGCCATGGAGCCTCCGACGACCCGACCCATGGCAGCTGCAGTCCTGTACACTGACCAATTGCCTCAGGACAGAACTGGGTCAAAATGTTCACCTGACGCCATCAAATAAGGCCTTAGAGTCTGGTAAAATTCACACTTGTCAATGATATACAGTATCAAAACTCTGTAATGAGAAAACATACAAACGCATATGCAAATATAGCTTTCAATATGCAACAACGTACACATTAACTGTTGGTTTTGCAGATGAAATTCAACTTTTTCATACATTATTTGTCAAGATAATGGCTGGCTCTGTTCATTTTGAAAAGAGAAAAAGGAAAAAAAAAAAAAGAACAAGACAAAAAAAACAAATCAGGTTCGGTTCATATTTGTCATGTTGGATAACTGCGCACACGGGAGGCGTGGAGGAGTGAATTGAACCTCTCCAGTTGACCGTATACGTTCATGTTAACGCCACCCTCCCCCTCCAGTGCTTCTGGGCTGCTGTCAGTCTTTGGGTCGCCCCCATCCCCACCCGCCTGCTGTGTGTAGGTGCATGTGAGTCGGTCATTCCAGTGAGGTTTAAAATAAGTATAGGCCATTGGTTCATTTGTTGAGAGGTCCCGCCTACCCTGATGGGGTGGAGCCTGGGGAGGGGGGGGCCATCAGTCGTCCAGGATGACCTTGACAAAACTGGCCACATCTGTCTCTTTGGAGTCATGAAGGGTGAGAAATGGATGTTGCTGCATCAAAAGGAGGAAAGAACAGAGTTTGAAACGTGCTCTTGAAAAACAACGTTTTAAATGACAGCTGTGCTGTTATTAACTTGTGAAAGATCATCTGAGTGTTGGTGGGTTAAGTGGGTAAGACTGGCCTCTTGTGGGCAAAAGCAAGAACCTGGGCACACTGAACATTACAGCGGGGATATTAATGGGGAAAAGCACCATAATTCATAATCATACTTGTTGTTTTGGAGTAAGAGAAATGAAAACAAACCATTAATTCTGTATAAGCAGGTCTCTCATTTGGCTTCTTTCTTAAGCTGTAAAAACAAGAGATTATTTCAAAAGAGAGAAAAACAGCATTTAAATAAATCATAGCTTAATATTTAAAAATGGTTTTATAAATTGATAAATACATGGACATCATCTAAATATAAACTACAGCTCTACTGTACCTACCTACCTAAAAACAGAGCAAACACTGACACCTGCTGGTCATCACTGCTACTTTTGTATTTTCTTTTTAAAAAGCAAGATGAACATGCAACAAATCCATATCATCGACCATTGTCATCAAGCGTGAGGCTTACTTACCACTGGGAGATGAAATCTACAAAGTCTGGGGAGAAACGGTCAGCAGGCAGCTGTGGAGACGGCTCGTCTACCACCTGTTTGAGCTGCTGGAACGGGGTGCCCCATGAGTCGTAGGGGAATTTCAAAATGGCCAGTTCAATCTAAGAGACAGGAGGAGGCTGCTTGAACAGCAATCATACATGTAGGATGTGGAATTTCATGACTGCATATTATAATTTGGTTGAATAATGTATTTACTATCATGAAAAAATGTGTACTGCACTTCAATTTATTTTAGACATTTCAGAGAATAATTTATTCTTTCCCGTTTCATCAACAGTACTAAAAACATCAATAAATAACACATAATAATAATCCGCTTTGTGTTTTCAAATTCGTCCATATGCCTGTAAGCCGTGTTTAGTGTTAACTGAGGCAAGCAGGAATTTCTAATGGTGAGGAACCAACAACATAGGTATCAAATCGTAAAGGGTCACCATCACTCAGCATTGGTGCCAAATTGTGATTAGTAATCTGAGATATATATATAACTAACTGACTGACTGACTAACCAAGAGAGTTACAACAATCCATCACTACTCACCATAGTGATACCAAGACTCCATACGTCTGATTTGACGCTGTAGCCTTTTTGGTTGAGGTCAGGATTGATCCGCTCGGGCTGAAATGGAAATTATGAGTGATAGATAAATACCAACACTATCGATAATAGTTATAAATAAGTATAATATTAAAATACTAAACTTCTAAAAAATAACATTAGATAACAGCAATTGTATTCTCTATCTTGAATTAAATCCACTCAAGAATTAAAAAGCCATGTAAAGATAAGAACATCTGTGATTTGGTTAGAAGTAGTTTGTCAGTTCCAATGTTTTTTGGCAGGATTTAAAATCATGCACTGGTTTTGTGATGCTGCATTCCACACAAGATGTCAGTAGAACCCTCATAATCATTATTCTGGGATCCAGATTTCAAAATGCTTACAGTAACTGGCGTGTGGATTTTTGGTTGTACTCCAGCTGACGAGTGTTTCAAAATCAAACTTGGCCAGGCCTCTACCAGCATTCCAATCCTATCATACATTTCTAAAAAATCCTTTCCTCAAATCTCAGCTTGCCTGTACCAGGAATCTTCTCCCCAATTTTCCCCAATACTCACCGCCATGTAGGGCTTGCAGCCTGCATCCAGTGTTTTGGCCACGGAGTCCACCAGGTGGCCACTGATGCCAAAGTCGCACATTTTAACTTGGCCCTGAGTGTTGATCAGGACATTGGAGGGTTTCACATCTGGGAAGAGACAATGTTGGGAGGATCGTGAGAGAGAGAAGAAAGGAAACCAACTATGAGAAGCATCAACGGAGACCTGAACACAGTAACCACTGATGATTCGATCTGCTCACCTCTGTGTATCACTGACAGGTTATTGTGCAGATGCTCTAATGCCTTGACAATCTGTGGAGTAGTAAAAAAAACATTTCAGAATTCTGCTGAAGAGATGATCACATGAACTGATGCCACAGATGATATCGCAGTGAAACCAATGATTGTTTACATGCACATTGATTATCTGTTGTCATTCTGTTGTGGATTTCCTGGAGGTGAACTCATTTCTGTTTGACAAGAAAACTGCAGTGAAAAAGTGTTTGTCTATTTCAAAATGTATGGAAACGCAAAGAATATTATCAATGATGATAAAAATTTACCATTACCATTTACCAAGAAATAGTTAAATAATGAATTGTTTTCTTTCTGAGAATTAAGTAAAAATCAACACATTTTCATTAATTAATCCGTATACGAGCATTAATGTGTTTGTGGTTTTGGTGAGAATTACGTGATGTGACCATTTCTTTGCAAATCATAGTTTTTTCACAAGCCCAGGACTTCATCCAGACTATATTGGAGGTTGCCTGGTAACCTCACTGTGACAACAAGACTCCAGAAACTCACTGCACCTGAGTGTTGTTCGCCAATAAATGACTAACTACAGAACATTAACTCCCATACATCTTGTACTTCTCAGAAATAACAAGACTTCAAAAAAAGGTACTTTACTTTATAACTCATGTTAACACACTGGATATCTTAGTGACACTCATGGAGTAAAATATGGGACAGTACATACTGCTACTGCGATCTTTCCCAAGATGTCCTCGGGGATGGTTTTGCCTTTCTCAATAACATTCTTATAGAACTTGTCCAGGGACGTGTCCATTAGTTCCATACAGATCCACACATCCCCCTGAATAAAGAAAAGAGTTCCCAAAAAGGAAGAAACGTGATGAAGACAGGGAGTCACAGCAGTCAGAGATGATATATTCAAAAATCGTCCTCACCTCTCTGAAGAGGGCGCCATAGAAGGTCACAGTGAAGAAGCAGTCCACTGTCCTCATAGAAATGTCCAGGTCCATCAGAAGTCTCTTCTGCTCCAGACTGTTGACTGTGGCACGAATTCTCTGGTAACACAAACATCATAGATGGGCTGTAAGTGTCATCACAGGTACATGTAGCTTAAATCAAATGGTCCAGTGTTTAACCCTATAACCCTGCACTCCTCTCTCAATATGACATATCACAGCTCTAAAAGATCTGTGCTGAAGATTTACAAGGTGAGCTCATATCCTGAATAAATCTGTGAAACTTCTATTTTTAAAAAGCATGGTGCATGTACACAGATGCCAAATCAGGTAACCTGAGTGGCAGCCTAGCACCCTACCTTGACAGCCATGATAACACCACTGGGCACATGTTTCATCTTGTCCACCACACCATACGCTCCCCTTCCCAGCTCTGCAATCTGCTCCAAGTCATCCGCCTTCACCACGAAGTTCTGCACAGGAGGGGGCGGACATTACATTGATGAATGGATTCAGCTCGGCAAAAAATAGAGTCGTGCATCTCAGAGGAAAACAGAGCCAGCTTTACCTGATCTCCAATTGTGACGCAAGCTTTAGAGTCAAGATCTCGAGGGGCCCTGCAGAGAGAGGGCAAAAATGTAACTACCTGTGTCAAAAGCAACAGTGTGTGGTCAGTTTTGATAGCACACTATTATTCACTCCCTACTGGAATATTCAAATTCTGAGAGAAACTGTGTTTTTTAGCGAAATGTATACAATTACTGGCACAGTGTCATTCTGTGAATCCATGCATCTCAGCACCTGAAAGAGGAGCATTAAAAAAGCAGGGCGAGACAGTGCAGCATCCATAAAAAGAAATTCATGCAATAACATCTTTGCATACTTAAAAACATAATGCAAACATCATCTAATTGTGACCTGGTTTAAATTTGTGGTCATCTGCATTAAGACAAATGTAAAGTAGGACCATATAGAACAGATACACTTTTATATAAAATATGATATTTTTGTTTATGTACATCTTTTTATTCTTCCTTACTGGCCGACATACACCAACACCATTGTATCTGCGATTACCTAATATAAGCTTATAAATTGACCCAGCCAGTGTATCAGTGAGACCCTAATTTTGCAACCCTCTTAGGATGGAAGGGCTGCTATTGTTAAAAAGAAAAGAGGCTTACGCTGGTGCTGCTGGTTGGGGCTGCGCAAAGACTTCTTTGGCCAGCTTCAGCCCAGGGTTCTTCTTCTTCCCTTAAAGACAAGAACACAGCACACCATAACCATCTCAGACCCAATTGATAAAGCTACAACAACAAGCGAGTATAAGTTGCAGTATTTTGTCGGGCCGAGGCAAATTAACTTCACATCTACATAGTCCATTTGCAACATTACTCTGAATTTGAAACAGAGGCTTCCCACAAAAGTTCGGAATCAGACCACTTAGTGCCGATTAAGTGTCCATATTGGCCTAATGATAGATTGCATTCTGTTCTCGTAGTAAGGAGTGTTTTCAAGGTTGCAGTCAAGTTGGAGTTTCCACTGACACAAACCAAACCAAATGATCTGTTATCTAACTGGAGATTAGGTGTACTCAAAGCTGAGGCCCAGCAACACAGAACGTGGACTGAGTGACTAATCGACATTGGTATGATGACTCAAATGCTTCGGTGGGGGCTTTTTCCTGTCATATTTTTTTTTACTTGCTGCTGGAAAATCATTTATCAATACACTTTCCTGCTTTGTCTGAGTTTAGGAGCAGTCACATTTTCTGCATTTCTTCTGTATGGTGATGTAAACTGTGCAGCTCCAGGAGATTTCTGTGTTAAGTCAGTGACAGCAGTCCATTCATAAACACAGTTTACCAGCAGCCTTAGGACTTCCCACAAGGGGCTGAGAGCCTCTGCCAGAATGACACAGCTACCGGGCTTACGAGCAATAACAGGGAAAAAACAGATGAACCCTCCTCGACATGGACATTTGTGTTCAGCATGTTTGCTCATGTTGCAAGGTCAACAGGAAAAACCTCAAATACTTTTCTTGATCTTTATCTGCGTGTGCGAGGACTTTGTCAGATTTTCACTGGGATTAAATGATGAAAAACAATATGGTACCAATCTTCTGTTCTTGCTGCTAACGAGGGGCAGAGTAAGAAGTGTAATGATTCTACCCCAGTTCAGAGAAACTGACTAAATGCACAGCCAGGGTATCTTCACTTTGGAACAAATGCAACAACACTTTATAAAACTGGCAAAAGTTTAAAAAAATTAACTGTCACTATTTTTGTGGGCTTGTATTTATGAATGAGTGACTCACACCACTCCAGTCTGGAGGAAGTACGTCTGGGCAAACCCCTCCTCAGCTGCATTAAGCTGGAAGGGAAGTGAAGTTTTTCTGTGGCCAACCACTGAAAACATCAGACGGATCCATTTTGTATTGCAGCCCTAAAATAAGCCTATGGTGGCTGGACAAACTGTGATAGTTCTACGTGGTAAGGAGAGATTGAAGTGTGATTTACTCACACATGCTGAACCAAAAATAGATTTTGCATTTCCTCTGCGTGGGATAAAGTGTTCGAGCATTGAGCACTAAAAGCCATCGCAGGACAGTGTTTTGTTCGTGCAGCAAGACAAATGAAGGGCACAAATACTGTGGTGCAGTTGAAAAGCATCCAACGTAAATTGTGTTACTCAAGTTTACATATTTAACAATCCTTTTCTGCTGCAGAAAAAAAACTGCAGACTGTAAATTATGTTTAACTAATGTTTAATTTTAACCATGTTTAATTAATACTGTAAGTGTTTGCCCCTCTCAGGAAGCAATCCTGTTTGGGGAGCCAGTGTGCAGTGACCCTGTAGCCAGGGCTGTGGGGTGGGATATGACTCATGGCCAGTCAGACTGGACACATCCGCTGAAAACACAACAACTGTCAGGACCCTTTGGGAAATATGATGTCACTTCACTTGGCCTGCTTGGAGCTCACTCTCCCTGTTCGGGCCAGCCGAGGCCAACTCTAGAACTCTCTCCTGAGCCATTTGCCTGGTCCTCAAATTCAGCCTAGTAACACACAATAGTGCCATGACCTCAGCCACAGCTGCAAACATACTTGAGGAAAAGTATGTTTGTTGACAGGTAACATTTCCTCAAAAAGGGTCATAGTCTGAGATCCAAGTAAGGCTCAAGCTGCATTCAGCACTTTAATGAAATATCTTCAACCTGCCAGACCTTTTTTTCCTCACATTGCAAGCATTTTTCATTCTGATGATGGCATCTTCCTTAGATTAATATTTTTTGATGCAGTGTTAGCAGTGAACTGGTGCACTTTAACAGGAAATGCAGTCATTTTTAGGAAAACAAAGATGTTCAGTGGAAAGTACCCATGGCGCAGTGGTGCATGTACGTAATGGGAACAAGAATTTCTGGATTGTGCATCAGATCAAAGTGTCAATAGCTGTGTGGCAAGTCACCATCAGGAAGCTCAGGAGCTCAGAGTGTGGGTCCTTATACAGACAGTGATGACTCATGCACAGATAATCTTCCACGCTACCCTATCAGTGGTGTGAGGGAGAACCCAATCTCCAAACATGCCTCAGCAATACAATGAGCAGTGCTGAAGCTAACTTAGGCACACTCCACCCTTTAACAGGGAAGGCACGTCCCCCACGGCAAATAAAAAGGCCCTTCCAAGGAGACACCTCGGGCCTGCCTCGGTGCACGCAACCGTAAAATCAGCACAGTCAGAACCTGTGCAGCAGCTATGGAGCGTCTGCTTGCAGCCAGCAAGCTGTCAACAAAAAGGAGAGAGGCTGCACAAGGTATTGGTGCTGCAAGTCAAAACATGCCACGGTAGGCCAAAGGCTGTGAGTGCCTGAGCTGCAACACAGCCAATCTACACAGGGCCCTGAAGAAGCTGTGTGTACTCCCGACCATGGTAACGCTAGTATGATTGTGTAACAGCAGCAGCGGTGAACTTGAAATGTAAATTGACATCATCGCCATCACGCTGCGTGTGTGTGTGTGTGTGTCTATCTATAGTTATGAGGGCCAATTTTGGTTCAATACCATCATTGTGAGGACATTTTGGCCTGTCCTCAAAACATCAACGGACTGTTTGAGGGTTAAGACTTGGTTTTAGGTTAGGCATTTAGTTGTGATGGTTCAGGTTAGGGGCTATTATGGCAATGAGTGTCGTCACAACTACAGAGAGGAGCGTGCGTGCGTGTGTGTGTG